ATATATTGTTATTTTTACTAAATGAGTTACCAAATAAAGAAGGGTGTGTGTGTGTGTGTGTGTGTGTGTGTGTGTGTGTGTGTGTGCTGAATACTGCAAATAAGTCTCCTCCACCCCCATATTTACCGGCCTGGAACAAAAATCAAGTGCTCTGTTAGCTTCCATATGAAGTTATGATGCACTTAAAAAAGAAAGTCCCAATTAATAACAATCTAATTCCATGCTCACAAATTTAATTTTTCCTATAATCCCAACTTCTGTGTTTTACATGCTTCATAAAAAGGACAAAGAAGTTCTAGAAAGCAGCAGATAAAACCAGTAGAGAATGGTTGGAAGTGGTTGCCACTATATTCTAAGGAAAGGTTGGCGTAGATGTATAGGAACATACATTGTGTCCTGTTTATTTGACCAGGTTCTTTAATCTGGGCTGGAGGTTCCAAACGCTCATTTTTGTTCAGGTTGAAGGTGATTTGACTCTAAAAGATATCAGAGGACCAAAGTGCATGTGGATGTAGCCTGTTGATTTACAGTCAGAAATGAAACACGAAGAGAAATGGGGAGAGGCAAAAGGTGGCTTAGTTGGTGTGATACCAACTTCTGTGTTTTTAAGCAATCAAGAATACTCTTTAAAGTGCTTTTATTAAATTAATCTAGGCCTAAATTAAATGACTGTTGTGATGCCAAACTATAAAGTATAAAATTGATGGCAGATCTTATTACTTTGATACTGTGCTATTGTTCTGCCCTACTTCATGTGCCACGCAGCATAGCTGGAGCTATCTCCCACATATATTGTACAGTGTTTGCTCTGAGTGGTCAGAACAACAAAGGTGAACGAATGCTTTTTGCTATACAGAATTCTCTAACTATTGAAAGTGTTTGACATTCTTGTTTCATCTCAGCAAAACAATCATGAGAAATGTTTTCTCAAATGTCCTGTAAAAAAGAAAGGCTTATGCAAAATATAAAAGGATGATGCAATTTATGACTGAGAGAAGCAGCCTATTTTTATGCCCTCTATTGAAGTGACTACTGAATACAGTGACTCACAGGAGCTTTCTAGTGGAAATCAAATGCTGAAATGAAACAGCACTCACTTTATTGGGCAATAGTGATGTGCCTTTTATTGGTTGGACTCTGATACAAACACCTGACAACGAACAGAACTTTACCCACCACGACACGTATCATACATCACATAGTCTAACCACAGGCTGTAAGAATATGAAACGATGAGTTTGAAATAAAAATACAAAAGGCCCAGGCAAGATGCAAACTAGTCCTTATTGTGAATTAATGTGTAAGTTTAAGTGACTGTGATGGCTTCATAAACCTATGTGTATAATTCATATATTGTAGGAACATTTAGAAATCTATTAAAATGAAAGCAAGGACAGCAAGGTGTTGTGGCACATATCTGTAATTCCAGCACTTGGGAGGTAGAAGCAGGAGGATCACTGTGAGTTGAAGGCCATCCTGTTCTATATAGCGAGTTCTAGGTCATCCAGGACTGCATGTCAAAATGCCATCTCCAAAAAGCAAAGTAATAATAATGATAATAATGATAATAATCATACACCTAAAAAACAACCCACGAGTACTTTTATATTACACTGTATGTATAAACAATCCTCATTGTTTTTCAATCAAGGTTTTCTTTGTAAGCATGACCTTAGGTCTTGTTTGACCCCGGGAAAACTGATGCTGGCAGATGAAATTCTCTCAATATAATATTAAAGCAATTTCCATCTTTCCGTTTTTCATATGAAGATATACTACAAAGGAAAAATGCTTAATTTTGGAGATGTAAAATTTTCATATTTCATTTTGTAACCTTCTTGTTAGCTATCTTTTACCTAAGTTGTCCAAAAGATTTAAGCTCAAGGTTAGAGGTGTAACTTAGGGCATGGCCATGATGATTTTCAAGTCCATTCAAATAACCCTTCTTTCTCACCCCCAGAGTCATTTCATATTAATGGGTTATTTCCTGTCAGGCCTCTCATGGGAGTTTCCAGTAACAAGGGTGGTCTGGTTCAGTTGGCGTGGCCTTAGCCATAATAGAGCATTCACTTTAACTCTAGAGAAGTTTCCTAATTAGTATTCTGTTGTAAAAGTGATGAGAACAGGGATCCACCTCTGAACCTCTTAGAAATGGAATGCAGAGCCCACAGGACTCCAGGCAGGCAGTCTGGGACCCAGACAGGTGCTGCTTGTCATAGGTACAAACACAGGTCCACTCTGATAGTCTCAGTTGGCCTACTAGCACACTGAAGAAGGACAGTGCTGATTTCCAGCCCCTGGATTGTCATACACAGGACAGTCATCTACGTGTCGGGAATGAAAGTCTAATTACCCTAATTGTGTCTTACAGTCATCAGCAGTGATAAGGCCATTTAAATTCTAAAATCTGAATGATTTTTATAATGGTATATAAGTAGTATAAAAATGAAAAAATAACCATAAGATGATGTATTCCAGTTTAATTAGGTTCAGTAGCGTTGGAGGATTCCCACCACCTGGCCACATGAAAGTGGTGAAATATTCCAACAGGCAGTTGTATTCCAGCCATGGTGATGACTGGGGACAGAACAGAAAACTATCGCCATCAGACTTCTTGGAAGGTTCCTCAGCCCTTTTGCCATGCATAGGATGGTAGACTGGTTTGATTTAGCTCTCAAAACTGAAAACTTTCTTGAGTTTTTCTCCTGGAGTGAAACAAAAAAATTTTTAAATAAAAGACTAAAAACTACAACCCACCTATGTTTAATCATTAATAATGAGCCCTTCCATGAACTTAGGTCCTGATTTTGGAGTTTGGATTCTGACCTTTCCCCTATAGATAAACACTGCTGTTGCAGATTCTGAGGAGGGTCACTTCCTTGCTGATTGTCACCAGAAGAGTCTGCTTATCCCTGCTCCTAGCTGGGAACTAGATGTGGTAGAGGCAGCCGGACAGCATGATCCTCCTTGCAGTGCTTTTTCTCTGCTTCATTTCCTCACATTCTGCTTCTGTTAAAGGTAAGTTTATTTTGCCTTCTCCTAACCTTTCATTTCAATCTTTTGGGGAGAAGTATCTCAATGTGTGTGTTTACATGTGTTGAAAAAGTTCCTAACTACACTACATTTGAAACCATGCAATGCTGGAATATTTGTGAGAGTGGCTAGGTAGAAATGAAAAAAAAATGTAAATTTCCACCTCTATTTTACAAAAATAAAAGTCCTTTTTCATTTCAGCCCCCCTAGATCAGTGTGTTTCTGGCTTCAGTTTCTCAGTCCTGGACAAAAATGCCAGCTGTTGTTATCTGCTGCTGTTGTTACATAGAACGCAGTGTCTTCAACTGAGTTGTGAAAGAGGATGTTTAGAACCCAGTTTAAATTTCTTTAAATTGCTAGTTGCTTAGCAATGGGACACTAAACAGAATCAGACCCAATGAAAATGGCATTTGACTTGCCAAAGAATTATGAATGAAATGGCATAGCATGTGTATAATTCCAGTGGTATTTGAAAGGAGCAGAATAATCCAAGTCAGCGAATTAAAGAAAATAAAGCTACATGATAAAAATTTAAGAATTGGACATCTTTAAAAACTAGACAACAGTGACTAGTAATAATCAGATATTTAGAGATTAGAAATGCATGTGCAAACATCCAATGTCAATTGCATTGAAAAAGAATTTTTCTGTATGAAACTGTGTATTTTAATAATGAAATGGAGATCTTTTTAAAGGTTAAAACATCATTTAATTTATGTCTTATAGGGTTTATAATGAGTACAATATTGTATAACTGTAATAATTCAACTGTAAACCTAAAAATTTACAGCCAATTTTGAAAGAGATGCATCCTACCTCAGGAAACCGTTATTGAATATGTCAATTGTGTTGTAATGATATGCTTCTTCTAAGTATGTTGTTATTAAATAAATCATTTTTAAAAATTAAAAAAAAACTAGTATTGTTAACTGCTTTCTACTTCAAGATAAAATTGATTTTTAAAATATATGAATTGATAACAGAAAAAACAATGGGAAAACATTTCATAAATAGTCTCAAGTGTGTATAAAAATGTATTAATGTGAAATCGTATTTTAAATCAGCTACATTATAAACTTTTGATTTCTGATTGTTGCTGTATTACATAAAAAGTGTAGATTTATTTAAGGCAACCTATCATGATAGCGATAGGATTCAGTATCTAATACTGTGCACTTTAAAGTAATTGACATAAAGTAATCCACAAGTAAACATTTAAACTTGCTTGGAATAAATGTGACTTTCAATCATAAAGTGAAGTTTGTCTCAAAGTTTTTTTTTTGTGTGGAAACTTTCTCCATGAGGAAAACAGACAAACTTTGTTATTACAACAGTAAATACAGGGCTACCTTTAAATTATTTCACTGGAGCAAATCACAGTTATGGTTCTTAAACTAAAGGTAATATTTTCAACAGTTTCTAAAATCATTAATGTTTAAAGCCAAAGTCTTTATTCAGCTGAATAAAATAAAGACTTATAAATCATATCTGACTCAGAATTGCTATATAGTGTTTTATTATTTATCCAATAACCTGTTGAATGTGAAACATAAGTGACATAACTACCATGGTACAGAAACTAATACAATTATTATTGTGAGAAATATAATTGAAATATAGTAGCTACTTTGGGTTTCTCTTGTATTTTCCATTCTGTAAACTAGAAAATGCAAATGCACTTACAAAGGACTTAAATACACCCCCCCACGACATATACACACCATCTGCACATGGAGAAGATGTGACTTAGAACATGACAGTTTGGTGTGCACAAAATGACAAATCTGGATTTTCAAAACCCAAAGCTTGTGCAATTTAGAAGCTGCCTTTGAGAAAACATTACAGAAATACCTTACTTTTACAAAGGTTACTGTAAAAAGATAAGGAAGGTGTACACATTGCTAGGGTCCTCTTCCAATGTCTTACAAAGAGCCCAAGCAAGTGAGGAGCCCAGGGCTTATGCTTTATCTTCATATCATGCGTTTCTTATGCTAAATATCACCAGTAAAAAGTACAAGACTTGATTCTCTCCATCTCGATAGAGTCACCTTTGATTGACATTTAACCAGAAAACTACAAGAGAAGGGTCTACTGCTTACTACCCTTAGGCCTGAGGTGTGAAAGAGTCTGTGTGGTCTGATGAATGTGAACTTTCAAAGGCTCAAGCTTTCCCAATTTGTGATTAACTGTAGCTGGCGATATGAATTTGTTCTCCATGTCAAGTTGGGTTCTCTTTATACAGTGCCTTTGCTTTATAATTAACTTGTCACCTCTATACTTGACTGGTTTTTTCATTTCAGTCTTCTCTCTGGTCCTCCCTCTTTTCAGTCCATTTGTATTAAGCATCTTTTCTGTGCCCCACCCTTCCTTTTACTTCTGCCTTACAGTTTTCTGTTGGATTCTTAAACTCTAACATCTCTTCCTGGTCTCCATGGTGCATCTCCTGGAGCCCACTTCCACTTACCTCTGCTTTGCCTTCTTGCTGAAGCCAATTATCAGGGCATCGCATTTATTGAAAGTGTGGAAATGAATGCAGCATTGTTTAAAACATCCAAAACTACAAATTCTGTTGCTTTCTGTCACTTAAGCATTCTAAAAGTGCTTGAAGGGCCAAATTGAAGCAACGCTGCCTCCAATTTTAACTACATTAATCTATCTTTTGGTGTTTATCTAATATCAGTTCAAAACTCAAATGCTGTTAGATCCATTTTGAAGAACAATACCCTAAACCAGAAACTAAGTCAGTAATAAACATGGAAGAAGCCCTGGATGTCCAGTGTGTCCAGACCTCTGAACAATAGAAACAGAGAGATATCAAAGAGGAAGGGATGATAGGGCAACACTGGAACACAATCTAGTTATCTGGACCATCTTAGGCTGCTTGAGTATTTGGCAAAAAAGGATAGGCATTGGAGGCCTGCCGAGAGACAGAGATAGGAAGAACTTTGGGAGAGCCAGGCCCTTCATTCCCTGGGGTTTATCACCCAAGCCATTGTCAGGAGCTGATCTGGCATACACTCTTTTTTGTATTTTTCTGACCAGTAAAGTAAAAGCAAGAAAAAAAAAAAAAGCAACATGATAGCTTTGAAAATTTTGGACCTTAGGAAAGACGACCTTCCTACACATTTTGATAGTTATTTCAATCAGCAGACACCTTCACGTAGTCCACAAACTCAGATTTCATTAAATGTAAACGTCAAAGTCTGCTCTGTGTCTGTGGATTGAACTTGGGGTTGGCTTTTGTCAACTCTCCAGTCTGCTTACCTTTCAGAATTGCTGTGAGGCTTAGATAAGACAGTGTGCAGTACTTTTGTGCCCTGTGTGGAATTTGATAGATGCCATAAAAAAAGGCCTCTCTGGACAAAGTAGCCTTCCTAGCTACAGAGGTGCTGCAAAATGACCAGCTGGACTACAAAAGAGGTGGAACCAGGAGCAGCTGAGGGAGTCGCAGAGTCGGTCTCCCTCAAGGGTTGCCCTAGCTCCATCTTCTGCCTTCCTGACTTGGTGTTTGAACAGTGCTGGGTGAACATATTCAGGAGTCTGCTCTCACACTTCCTGTACCTGTTTCTTCTTGATTCCTATTGAAACCCTTGTCCTCTATTTGAGCCTTTGTCAGATCATGTAACCTAAAACTAGGTCACCGCCTAAAACTCTTGAGCACCTTCCCATCTCACTTTGAGTCAAAGTCCAATCTGTGCAAATGTTCCTGAGTCTCCCTGACACCGATTGGTACCTATTTGACTTATCTTCCGTGTGTGTTCACTTAGTCAGTTCTAGTCCTTTGGCCTCCTTGCTGGTCCCGAATCTGCCCCAGGGCCTTTGTACTTGCTACTCTGTGAGAAGAGGGAGTAGGAGAGGAGTGTGTCTTTTTCAGAGATCCTTGTGGCTAGTCTAATCCTTCCTTGTCTCACAGAGGTTTATCCATTCCTTTTCCTCTTAGGTTTTTTTTCATTAACATTTCTAACATTCTATGTGACTTGCTATCTGATTACCCTTCTCCCTCTCATGTAAATGATAACTTTATAAGGGTAGAAATCTTGTTTCCTTATTAATTGGCATCCCTTCAAACAGAAAATTATTTGCCTCCAAGAAGTGCTCAGAACATCCTTGCTAAATGAATGAATGAATTCTTGGCTCATTCCCTTGGAAGGAAAGAGAATTTGATCTGAAACTTTAGAGACAGATGGTATAAGTAAGATCTCTGAGCAGATCACTATAGCTTAGATCATGTCGCCATGGTTCAGATCATGTCACCACCATCATTTACCAGAGTGATCGTGGATGACTTGTGTGATGTGGTGGTGCATGACTGGAATCCAAACTCCTGGGAGCCTAAGGCAAGAGAATGAGAGTTACAGGCCAATCTGAGCAACCTGGGCTATATTGTGAGACCCTTTCTCAAATCACCACCACCAACTAAGAAAGGCTGAGCCCACTGGATCTTTTGTTTGTTTTTGTTTTTTGATGTAGAGTCTCCCTGTAGTCACAGCTAGTGTGGAACTAACAATGTAGACCAGGCTGGCCTCAAACTCACAGAGATCTCCCCTGCCTCTGCCTCCCTAGCACTGGGATTAAAGGCATACACCACCACACTCGGTCTCCCCACTAGATTTTTACGAATGTCAACACAATCTAGAGGCAATATATTTGGGCAATTTCCCCAGAGACCATGCGGTCAGCATGTGGTGGGTGGGCAGTACCTGCTGTGGCAGGTGCTAAACTTGCGGAATGGTTTCTTATTGTAGATGATAAGGGCTTTCCATAAGTGTTCTGAATTCTTGGCTTTTCAAGGTCATTTTACCTCCTCTGCCAGTTGCTTTACTTTTGCTCATTTTCCACATACATATTTCTTAAGAGAAAAATGGTGATGATTAGAGTTACAGGTAACCCCGCAATACAACTCCATTTGCTCCCGGGGAAGCATGCATATTAAATCTTTCTTGACTGTCTCTAGTGAGCCATACACAGAAAATGTAAAAACTAGCTGATGTGATCTCAAACTTCTAGTCATCTCTGAGACAGACTTGAATCTTCCCCTTTGCATTTCTTGGAGGTGAGTCAAGTTGAACTGGGAACTGTGTGATCTTGTCTTCTGTGAAGGTTTTTGGCTCCGGTAGTGACTTGTACACTGTTTGATATTAAACTCTCCCTTGCTAAATTTAAGCTTATGTTAAGATTGTATGTAATTAAGTATTTTATTCAGACATAGTTAATTCAAAATTATTTGTGGGTAGCTCTGAAATGTGCCAGTGTTCCTTGAAATATACCAAGTATTTAAATGAAAGAATTGCCTTTAGACCCAGGAACACTTCTCTGCCATTCAGCTGTTGCCCTAAGATTATGTTCATTATAAATGTTCTTATTGAACTTACAAAGCAATTCCTGTCAAGACTTCTACTTGAAATTATATTCATGTGGCTAAGAACAACAGTAAGACAGTGTATTACTTTATACACTGTCTTACTGTCTAACCAAGGTGATACTGAGATGACCTGGAAATCGATATAAACTAAGATTTTCTAAAATGGGATCTTATTTCTTAGTCAATTCATTTGCTAATTTGTGCTTTCTAAGCCACTGGTTTCGGCAGATGGAGAAGTAGACTGTCTTTGATTCAGCAGGTGCTTGCTAAGCTCCTGCTGAGCCTCAGTGATCTAGAAGTGTGTACTGGATATAAGACAGTACGTTCTCTAGTCTGACAGGTGCCCGGCCATTAAAACTTGACCTGTGTTCCTCCTTTTGTGCAGGTCACACAACTGGTCTGTCACTAAATAATGACCAGCTGTACAAGCTCAAGTACACCACTGAAGTGTTGGTTGATGGGGGTGAAAGAAAGCTGCAAGACAGCGTGGGCTACCGGATTTCATCCGAGGTGGATGTTGTTTTACTGTGGAGGAATCCTGATGGTGATGATGACCAACTGATCCAAATCACGGTGGGCATTTTCTACCAAAACAAAACAAACAAAATACCACACAAGGATTCGATGTCAGCAAAGTTTTTGGGAAATGTACCAGTTGGCAGCACCTGTTTTGTGCTCTTGGTTATAGTTACCTGGTTATCTTTCACAAAAATAATTGCTGGATCCACAATTGTGAAGTTTTTACTGATCAACAGTGATCCTTTTTCTAAATTGTTGATGCAGACTATTAGGAAATATATGCCACCTCCTGCCGAGTAACTGGAGTCTGATATCTAGTTTATTAATAGAGACATTAAATTAGAATCCATCCAAAATACAGTTGAAGTTAGGGACCCGTAATCCATCATGTAAGGGAAGCAATGGAGAACACTGTTACTGAAAGGGAGACACATTACAGGACCTGGTTTGTCAGGTGGAACTTCTGAGACACTGCCTCTCCTGAAAGAATCAATGTTTGGTCAGTGGTGATGGTTTAGATTCATGTATTGAGAATAGCAGTCAACTCAGATGGTCTGTAGGACCTTTTCCAGTTTTGATATGTGATGATTCCAGTTTCTAAGAATTAAAAAGCAATGAATTCCTATTAAAGTTAGTTATTCTTTAGTAATTTGTTGTCAAATAGGCACACAGGACTGAGTACTTAGGACAGATAGTTTGGGGTATTCTTTTTAGTGAGATTCATTGCAACACCGTTACCAAGTGGGTACTATTTCTATGGATGTCTCTAGTGGTTCTTGTACTTTCAACATCTACTCCTTTAGATCACTTATCACTAGAACAGCACATTTTGCTGCAGAAAACATTGCTTACATCTTTGTTCAGGAATCATGCTGTTAGCTTTCACTTTATAAATACCGAGGCGGTAGACTAGGTAACAATCCTTTCCCACATGCCACAGTGAAGTGATGAGGTAGACAGCAACTGCTCAAAACAAGAGCATGACAATGGCATAAAAGAGTCACATCATGTCACAGCTATAACTCCAAATCACAAAGTTCTTAAAGTATTGGTATTTGGGGAGTAATTAAAATATCAAATTTTAAAGACCTTCCCCATTCTTTTAAAGTGAGTGACAACTGGGTTAAAGTGCCTGTTAAAGAAAGCAAGTGACAAGGTCCTGTGAATCACAGTGTGACAAATGACAACCTTAGTTGATCTGTTCTTTTACCATTTTATTTTCCAAGAGACTCTGGTGGAGACACACCTGGGAATGTTTTTCTAATAGGTTCCTTTGCATGACCCTAGATAACGGGTGTAAATGTGGAAAATGTGAATCAACAGAGAGGAGAGAAGAGCATCTACAAAGGAAAAGTCACACCTAAAATCACAGGAAAGGAGAACTTGGCAGCTCTGCAAAGACCCGTGCTTCTCCATCTGGTCCATGGAAAGGTAAAGGGTTTGGAATCTGTTTCTCCTACTTCCTGGTTTCCTTCACTTCAATATTGTGAGGTAATCTTCATATCAATACTTTTAGTAAAAGTGGAATATTTTCAAGAACCAAGGAACACAAGTTGCAGATTAAATGCTTCCTGAGTAAATCAATGCCCTGAATTCTATTTTATAGCCACTTTCTGTCTCATATTTCTATGAAAATCTTTATGGTAGAATGAAGTATTTACTTATGGAAAAGAAGCATTAGTTTTTAAAGCAAATTTCTTATTAAATTAGGAAGGATACAGCAAGTCATCACAGCATGCTTGAATGAATCCAGGAAACTAGATGAATTAGAATAAAAGGTTAGAACTTAGGTAAATGATATTAATTTGTGAGGACAGCAAAGTCTGGGTAAAGCTTAAAGCTAAAGCTTTTGAAAGGGTATGTCACATCCAAGGCATTCTTTATATGACATGGAAAAGCATTTAATATGTCAAAATAATAAATGATCATTGTAATATCCATCTAGAAATCCAATGAGGAAACTCTGTAAGTTTTCATTATTTATAGTTTAAATCTAGCCCCAAAATTTTATTTTATATGTATGACTGTTTGCCTGCACATATGTATGTATACCACATGTGTGTAATGCCTAAGGAGGCCAGAAGAGAGCATAAGATCCCCTGGAACTGGAGTTACAGATGGTTAAGAGCAGCAAATGCTCTTAATCACTGAGCCATCTCTCCAATCCTCCTAATCTAACCTACTTAAAATAGTCTTAAAATATTTGAAATTGTGAGAGCAACAAATTAGTAGGCAGCCTACATTCCCATTTAGGAAAGTTATAGGTATTTTATCAACATGTATAAAAGTAGATCAGTGAAGATTGGTGCTCAATTTTCATCACAGAAGAAGAAAACACATAATGGGAATGTCACAGTTGTTCCTTTGCACATCTCTAAAATTAAGCTTTATAGATTCAAAATAAGAACGAAAACAAGTACTTCAACACAAGAATTTCAGAAACCTCTACTGCAAATCAGGATGCACATTTTTATTTTATAAAGTACTCAAAGGAAGGCTTGTTTATCATGTTTACATATGAACCCCAGTGTTTAGCAGTACTTTTCCACTTGTCAAAATCTTTGCCGTGTTTCAGGCTTGGCTCCCAGGTCCTTCTGTCTTTTCTGTCTTTTGGAACATGCACACCCTTTTGGTCAGCTGGAAACAGCCATTCAGCTCCACAGCACTCTTGGCACTCTGGAGCCTACTCATGGCCCTGCCCCCCCCCCCTTTTGCCATTTATGTTCATTGCTAATTTGTGGCTTTCAGGAAAGAAAATTCCCATTCCTCTTTTTATTCCAGCCCCATGGACCTTCCACCACATGCCCTTCTGCTCCTCCTTCCCCAGAGTACCCATGAACTGAGCTTACCAATGTATCCCTAAAGCTTTTCTTAACATTCATGGCTAAGCCCATGGTCCCTTGAACTTATTTCTATTGAAGTGTTTACCCTAGTAGATTATAATTCTCTCTGTATGTTCAGTCTGTAGCAACAGCAAGTTTCTCATAAGCAGCAATTACATCTTTCTCTCAGTGTATTCAGCAACCTACTTATAATGGGAATTAAATGTGTTTATAAAATAAAATATAAAAGGACAAAAGCTTAAGTTTATATAAGGCTAAACAAGTCAGACTTTGAGAAAAGTTTTATGATTTGCTTAACCGTGGGTGAAAGGTATTGTGTGCTTATAGCATGCCAAGCTCTGGCTGAAAACATTGCAAGCATGGTCTGTATGCTAGTTACAGACCCAGGAAGCTGGTGCTGCTTTATTATCCACGTGATAGATGAGGAGCTGAAGCTCAGAGCAGTCATGAAACTTGCCAAAGATCACACAGCTGGCAGGTTGTGGAGTTGGAACTTGAAGCAGTCTGTGCCCGACCGAACTCTTATGCTCCACTGCCTTCTCAGTGGAAAGTACCTGGGAAGATGTCTGCCCCTGGACTGATTTGTAGAACTGCTGGTTTTCTTCACCATAAACATTCACTTACTTGATTTGCATATGAATCAATTTTGTTAACATGAAATACTACTGTTTTCTTTTCTGGACCTCCAGTGTGGCAAGCCACTTAAGTCTATAAAATATTAATTGCATTTATAATCTTAACAGCAACCCATCATTTTCTAGTTCCTTTGCTAGAAGATGAGTACAAAGTCGTTTGTTACACACACACACACACACACACACACACACACACACACACACACACAGAATCAGTGCCCTCACTGTTCAAAGGCTGGATGGAACTGCCACATCACTATTTCAGTGATACTGATGTGCTAACAGGATGGGAACTGTGATTTGTGAAGATTTGCTGTAGCCACAGGTTAAAGTACATCATCGTATCTCTCAGTTATACAATAAAGTACTTCAGAAAGACCTGATCCTGGAAACTACAAAGAAGCCAAGAGGAATTTCTGGCCACATCGCTTTCAGAAAGATTGTCATTTCAGTTTACAATGTGAAAAACTGCAAAGCCAGGAAAATGGCTGGTGGGACATTTTCTTAGAGCACATTCCCTACCCTAGGCTGAATTAAGGTCTGCACAAAATTTCTGGGATTTCAGTAGAATCTCTTTGTCCTTCCAAAGCCCCCTTCTCTCCTCTCTGCATTGAAAGCTCCCATATTTATAGTATAAGAGAACCCATCAGAATACTTAGATACATGTTCGTTGCATATTTTCCTCCCCCCGTTGGTCACTATTTGTAATGCATAATTGTCTGGGGGTGACTCTAGTTTTGTCTAAAGTCATAAAATAAGATGGGAAAGTGGCAGTTTTCTGTTAACAAGTGAAAGGTGCCTCCAGTTACAGCATAAATTCTTTCTGGCCCTGAAATGCTAATCCAACCAATTAGACAGCATCCAGATTTCCAAGTCTGGTTTTGACTGTCTGGTTAAATTGAGTTTGTCTCTTCTTTTTCATTGTATCTCTGCACTGATCTACTCCCTGAATCTGACTGTGCAGTTCCTGTGCACACACTAGCCTTGCAAAGGAGCTGTGGGGGGCACCTGTCAATCACCTTGGAAGCTTTCAAGTTCTTCACCTATTTCTTCATTTGTTTCTGTCCCAAGGCACCACTCACCACTTCCAAGCTATACTTTGTCTTAAATAAGCATCAAAGACAAAGTGACAAATTACTGTTCCCTGGGATCATTTCAATTTATTTTTGCTGTTTAGTCAGTTAATGTAAATTTGCCTTCTGTTATTCTTAAAGTATCCATGAATTAAAGGGAATGTAGACAGAGGAACAGCTCTTTACAAACATTAAAATATGAGTAATGCCTACCAGTTCCAAGGAATAATGGCCCCAAACTTGACCAGAAGAGGCACTATGGCTTCTTCCTGGCAGCCTGCCCTCTCCTACTCCAGATTTGGGTTCCTGATGTTGAAAGCTTAGTTTGCTGCTCTCTGGGAACTCTGTGACTCTGGATTCAAATCACAGGCTTGTGCTCTGTGATGTTCTGAACTCATTTCAGAACGAAATGAAGTTATCAGCTTTATGGTCTGAGTGTCATAAAACTTACTCAGTTCCTGTTGTGTAATAATGAATTCAAGTTTACTGTGATGAAGCCACACAGATCAAACTTCAAAGTTCCAATTTATTAATATTATTATCATTAAATAATTTTGACACCTGGCTAATATGGATGTGACTGCTATCCTCACTTAGGATCTGATTGTTCTATTCTAAAAATAAACAAATTTACCCCCCAGATAGCAGTCATACTAAAGAAAAAAAAGTGTGAACTTTTCTATTTGTAGGAAAGTAAATACTAATATAAAGAATTTCAAAACTTTTTGTTTGTGTCTCATGGTTTGTTTGTCAGCTTACCAGGAAAAAATAACACTGCAGCATCATCCTCTTAAGTATCTAGACATCAAGATCAAAAGTTGATTCCCAGAGGTGCTTCAGTAATAGAAAACACTTGGCCTTATGGACACACTGAATCCAAGAACTGGGTTTCCTGACATGTAGTTAGATCTTTAGACCCAAGTCCTACCAGGCATAGACACACATGCCTTTACCAAGGAAGCACTTATGATCTTCCTGGGCTCATGAAATCCAATTATAAACCTCTCAAAGCAAATACCATACCTCAAGATATTTACAGAGGAAATTATATTGTTACTGCTAAAGGACAGGAAGAAAGACCTACTTTACAATCTGGACCATCAGAAATGCAGCTTGAGTCTGAGAAATTGCCAGTGATTTGTTTGAGAATATGATACCCTGGATTTTTCAGACACTGAGGTTATCATCACAGTGCTTTTTAAAAAGACAAACAACACTCTTCCAACCTTACAGGAGTGTCCAGTGTTAATGACTAAAATTGATTGCCCAACAAAGAATCTAGCACACCTGTCACTAGGCAGAATATTTCTAGGAAGTAAAAATACAGATTTGAGGCACTAATGTGGTTAATTCAGGTAAAACATTGTCTTCTAAGGCATGAGAAATTTTCAGGTAGGCTGAATTTTTCAGATTGGTATTAATTAAATTCATTACATAATTAATAAACTTTCTATTTTGTTTGAAAATTATGGTTGTTTTTAAAGAGAAATAGGAAAGTATTTAGGATATTTTTGGTAGAAACACTCTGCCATAACTACCACAGATCATGGCAGTTTTTACCAAGAGGGCATATCTTCCCTTTGTTTCTAAATTGTATATATTTGAGGTGAAAACAGTAGGCTGACTTATAGAAAATTCTCTTTGTATTTCTATCCTCTTTCTTATATATGGACTATGTCATTAAAATGCCTATAAATGCCAAAAATAAAACATAGCCAAGTCACTTCCTTTCCCCACCAAATCACAGTCATCTCCTTATTTCAACCTATTTTCCCTTCTTCTAAAGAGGACCTTAAACAGTAACATGGGACAGGCTGTACAGTAGTAGAAGTTTCAAGCTCCAGGCTTCCTACACTCTCTCCTTTCTCCCAAGGCCAACATGAATACTCTGGATGAATTTTGCCCCTCTGAGTTTTGTCTATGAGCAGTATGGTCTTGCATGGGCCCTTGTCACAGTCTACAGATGTGCCATTTCAGGAATCTCAAGTGTGGTGATTGTCTTTCTCTTCTGAGAACCTTTTATTTGATGTTATTTTAAATCCTGGTTAGTTTTTGTTTCTTACAGGTACCATGACTAAAGGGACTGCTCCTAATTTTTCCTTCCTTGGTCAGTCCTGATTTTCACAGAAATTCCTGTTTTATTTCCTTCTCTGTGTAATAATGACCATCATGTTCAGAGCCTTCATTATCAACTCCCTAAGTCTCATATCCCCATGATTTAGCTTCTTCAAATTTCAAGAAAGCAACCACAGCTTTATGCTAACAGATTGCTTTCTTCCAGAATAAGTAGGATTGGGAATCTGACCCTTCCACCACTTACTTAACCAAATCTGACAATGTAGTTTTGCTGCATATATATAATTTTTGCAATTTTCATACAATATAATTGGATGTTATTTAGATCCCCCCATGCACATCTCCCCTTGTTGCCCCCACCTAATTTAATGTAGTCTATTATATATAATAAGGTTTATAGAGTCTACCTTCAGCATGGGTCCATCCATTGGAGCCTGTTAACCTACCAAGAGTTCTATCCTTAAAAGAGACTGTCACTCTCCCTCCCGGCAGCCATCAGTTGCCAAAATATTCTTAAGTTGGATTGGGGTTTCTTATCACTTCCCAATGCCCATGCTGGGATTTTGTCTGATTTGAGCTTGCGTGGGACTTGTACATCCTGTCACAATTGCTGTGAGTTCATGTGAGTAACTGAAAAGCTGTCTAGAAAACTCTGTTTCCTTGTGGTCGGTCATCCCCCACCTCTGGCACTTTTAATCTTTCTGCCCCCTCTTCTGCAATCATCCCTGAGTCTTGGGAGGCAGAAGTTTGATATAGGTGTCCTATTCTGGGATAAGCATTCTGCAGCCTCTTCTCTGCACACTGGCCAGTTTTGGGATTCTGTTAATCACCATCTGTTCAATAAGGAAATTTTCTGGTAAGAGTTGAGAGATGCATTAATCTATGGGTATACCAATAAGTCATTAGAGTTAGTTTAATATTATAGCTATTTAGTAGATAAATAGTATTAGGCTCTCTCCTATGTCCTGTGACCTCTCTAGCATCAGTTTCCGAAGCCTGATAGCAATGTCAGGTATGAACTCCATCCTATGAAGTGAACGTAAAGCCAATTAGAGAGTGGTTGGTTACTCTGTAATGTTCATGGCACTATTGCACAAGTGGGCATATCTTCCTGGCCAATAGTTGCTGTAGCTCACAGGATTATAACTGGGTAAGACCAATGATTACTTTTCCCTTTTGGTAACATGCCTTTTGCTCCATTTTTCTTTTTCTTTTTCTCTTTTAGGTCAAAGAATTCTACTCTTATGAAAATGAGCCAGTGCCCATAGAAAATCTCAAGAGAGGCTTGGCTAGCTTATTCCAGATGCAGTTAAGCTCTGGAACTACCAATGAGGTACTTAATAATATTAATAAGAATTTAGAATCTCAGTGTGTATATACAGACCTCTAATATCAGCTGTTTGGGAAGCTGAGGCATGATTGTAAACTCAAATTCTGTGTGGGTCATATAGTGAGTTTACAGCTAGCCTGAGTAATTGAGTAAGATGCACCAGATCTCTACCACCCACATAAAAGCCAAATGTGGCCATTTGTAAGGGGGCAGAGACAGATGACTCCTGAGAACTCACTGGCCAGTCATGCTAGCCCAAATGGTGAGCTTCAGGTTCAGCAAGAGACTTTGTCTCAAAGGAATAATAGGGAGAGAGAGAGAGAGAGAGAGAGAGAGAGAGAGAGAGAGAAAGAGAGAGAGAGAACACCCGAGACCATCCTATGGTTCCCACACATGTGCATGGACATATATCCCCACCTCATATGTGTACCCACATATACACACAAATATAATAAAAACTATATTAAAAGGGCTGAGAATACTGATCAGTAGTGGAATACTTGCTTAGCATAACACAAGGCCCTAAGTTCAACCCTCAGGACTGCAAAATAAATAAGTAGGTAACTAAATTAGCATCTTTTGTTCATCAATAGTTTTATCAAAATTGTTTATAAGCATTTCCATTTATAGAAATTCCATGGAAAGTTACTCCCACGGTATTGTTCAGAATAGTTGAGTTGAGCTAGAAAGTTAAATTGTTTTTACGTATGAAATGGTTGTCTTTTTGTGGTTCCTACATTGTATATGGATACACAAAATCATATATGTGTATATATATTATATAACATTAAAGTGGAAGTGAGGTCATCTGGGGGACACATTGTATATGGATACACAAAATCATATATGTGTATATATATTATATAACATTAAAGTAGAAGCGAGGTCATCTGGGGGACACAAGTGGACTAGTGGGCAAGGTAAGGGCAGAATGTGGAGTGTGGGAAGAGTGGCAAAGTCAAATTGTGTGCTATACTATAATTAATGTCTATGAAACCTGTCATTATGCATCAATAAAACTTATAAAAATATTAAAAAGCACTTCATAGGTCTAACTTGTAGGAGGCTTGTCATGAAATGGTTGTCTTCTACTCTAATGTTTGTAACAAATACACAGCAAAGGGCACTGTAATCAGTTATGTGGGGTTGATACTCAGAAAACCTTGGGGATCCTGTCTACCAGAGGATTCAGTTATGCCAGGCAGTTTTTCCAATTCTTCTTGAACTCAGAGTTGATGGTGCATGTTATTCCTGGGACAGTTGAGGAAGTGCTCTGAGATTCCAGCAAAGAAAGCAAGAAAGAATCAATGCCCTCTAGGAGGCGTGCAGTTCTGTCTTTTACAACAGTTCCCATTGGCATGTGGAGGAACTCAGATTCAAGCCTCTGTCTGTGAGAATTCAGGTGGTCTACACGGCATCCCAACATTATGCTCTTGCTTTCTGTTCCAGGTAGATATCTCTGGGGATTGTAAAGTGACCTACCAGGCTCAGCAAAACAAAGTGGTCAAAACTAAGGCCTTGGATACATGCAAGATAGAAAGATCTGGATTTACAACAGCAAATCAGGTATGATAAAGTCTTAGAGTCATTCAAATAATTATATTTTGTAGAGATTTAAAATAATAAAAGAGAAAATCAGCAATATAATTTGGAAGTATTTATATTTTTTAGTTTAGGTTATATTTTTACAGGTATTCAATGACTAGACATCCAAATGTGTTGTAGGCATGGGTGATGGGGCGAGAAAATACAGGGTCACTCTAAGATTGAAAAACAACTACCATTTGATTTAATTAAAGATTAAAAAATAATTACTAGTTACAAAGGTAGCTACTTGTTGATTCATTCATTTACTTACTCAGGTGCTGGGTGTCAATTCGAAAGCCACATCTGTCACCACCTATAAGATAGAGGACAGCTTTGTTACAGCTGTGCTTGCAGAAGAGACACGGGCTTTTGCTCTGAACTTCCTACAAACCGTTGCAGGAAAAATAGTATCGAAGTAAGACAATGTTAATATAATAATATATTTTCTTTGCTATATTATTATATTTGACCTGTAAGTGGATGTGTGTGTATCTCTGTGTGTGTGTGTGTGCATACTGCTTATGTATCTGTGTGTATGTGCACGCATGTGCATGTGTGCATATTGCTCCTGCGTTTCAAGTATAAATTCCTTGCAAATATTGATTACATCTTGTTCATCTTTGTTTTTCAAGTAATCTATAGTAATGCATAGAAAATATAAGTTTTATGGGCTAGAGAGATGGCTCAGAGGTTAAGAGCACTGGCTGCTCTTCCAGAAGATTAGAGTTCGGTTCTTAGCACCCACATGGCAGCTCATAACTATCTGTAACTCCAGTTTCAGGGGATCCAATGCCCTGTTCTGGCCTCCATGGCCATTGCATGTATGTGGTGCACGTACATACATGCAGGCAAAATATTAATAAATATAAAATAAATAAATAAACACATTTTAAAAAGAAAATACTAGCTTTAGTAGTTCATTGAAAATCAATTATTTGAATACAATTTAAATTATAGAAACAAGCTGCTTATATTATTCCAGTTCAGTTCCTAATTTATTTGTCAATTTAAAAAAAATTCAGGTCGAAAGGTGGTGACAATACATTTTCTCTTCTTGGTGTTTTTAAAAAATGTATTAGTAGTTGTTAAGAAATGAAAAGTTTTGGGGTTGGAGAGATGGCTCAGTGGTTAAGAGCACTGAATGCTCTTGCAGAGGACCTGGGTTCAAATCCCAGAACCTACATGGCAGCTAACAACCATCTATAACTCCAGTTCCAAGGGATCCGATGCCCTCTTCTGCCTCTGCAGGCATTGCATGACATGGTGCACTTACACACATACAGGCAATACACTCATACACATAAAATAAAAATAAATAAAGCTAAAAATAAAGAAATGAAAAGTTTCATAATACAGAGATATGATAGGATTCTTGATTTAGCTTGATAGCATTCTAATATTTAATATCAATGCAACAATTGAGATCACTTTTTAGTTCTAGTAAGATTATTATATTTTATTTTATATGTATGAGTATATTGCCTGCATGTATGTAAGTGCACCCATGTCATGCAATGCCCATAGAGGTCAGAAGAGGATGTTGGATCCCCTGGAACTGGAATTACAGATAGTTGTTAGCTGCCGTGTGGGTGCTAGGACCCAAACCCCAGGCCTCTGCAAGAGCAGTCAGTGCTCTTAACTGCTGGCCATCTCTCCACTGGAATTTAAAATCTAATAGATGCACCTAGAGATTTTTTTAATTGAAAAAAATTTCCAATATTAAATTTATCATACCTTATGTAATTATTGAAAGTTTCCTCTGAAGTGGCCCTAATTGCAAAACCAAATGCATACAAAGTGCTAAGTGCCTCAGATCACAGGCTCTTGAAATTTTGTGGAAGCTTTCTACTTCATACTATATGTTGTTTTTCTATAGTCCCATGTAAAATAAATATTGTTAATTATTCATCGTTTCTATCTTTGTATAGAAATCCACTCAAAATTCAAAAGTATAAATGTCAGTAATCACTATTATTTTCTCATGATTGGGGGGGTCACATCTTGGTATGCTGCTATGCCTGATGTCTGTTAAGTGGTTGTCACTGGGTAGAGTGTCTGACACTGGGCCAAGAAGACTCCAGCAGCTGTACCCTTGTGCATCTCCCTTTATCGCCACATGAGCTTCCATCCTAACAGCTTTAGGTAGCCAGACTTCTCACATGGCACCTTAGGACTTTAGAGTCCATGAGCTGAGCATGAGCTGGATGAAAGCTGCATTCCCTTCTATGGTATAGCCTAGAAGTCACATAGTATCACTTCTACTGTCCTCTTGTAGTAAACAAGAAGTCACAGAGACTCAAGTTTCAAAGGTAGGGCTATAGTTCACCACACTTTGATGGTATAGAGACAAAATTCTAGAAGAGATGCCAGATAAAAGCATTGTTGAGACCATTTTTGGAAGATACATTTTCAAAACTGTCTTTGTTAATAAGATTGCATTGAATACCATTTTCAGAAAGCACCTCTAAATTCAAAAAGGCTGACATTCCTTATCTTGGTCAGCATCCAGACAAATTTTCTTCCTTGTATTCTCTTGTGATGATATTTTGAAAGTCCAGGCTTAAAATTTCTTTGAATAAAATAGTTGCACCAGAAAATTTTTGTAACTTTCTTGAGGTTTCAGGTACTGCTAGAGATGCTGAAGTTTGAATGTAGACAAGTGAAATAGTCTATATCTTGCTTTCCAAAAGAATGACAATTTTAGTGTCTTTTCAAAGATACAGAGGAATATTTTTATAATATAATGCTTCTTTTTGTGCTGCTCAGGCAGAAATTAGAGCTGAAGACCACTGAAGCAGGCCCAAGAATGATACCTGGAAAGAATGTTGCAGGAGTGATCAAAGCAGTTGGTTCAAAGTACACATCCATTCCCCTTGTGGGGCAGGCCTTCCAGAGCCCCTGTAAAGGGTGCCTTTCTGTAAGTGTGAGAAAATGTTGGACTAACACTAGTCTATGATTGGTTTCCTTTTTGGCAGCAAAAACATTAGCTAATTCTACAAAGGAATTAATAATTAAAAAATATTTTATTTGTTATTTTAATTTTATGTGTAAGAGTATATTGTTCACATGTGTGTAAGTGTACCCAAGTTGTTCAATGCCCAAGGAGGACAGAAGAGAGTGTCAGATCCCCTGAAACTGGAGGTTTGGATGGTTGTTAGCCACCATGTGGGTGCTGGGAACTGAACCTGGGTCCTCTGCAAAAGCAGCCAGTGCTCTTAATTGCTGAGTCATCTCTCCAGGCCCAGGAATTAGTAATTTTAAAGCTGGAAGTACAGTGATTTCTTCCGAGCGGAGGAGTTTAAGGTCACTGATAGAATTTAGTGCTCTATGCAATGAAGTTAAAAAGTAGTAAAGTTTGAAAAATAACATCTTTATTTTGTTTCAAAGCTTAAAGGTGTCATTAATTGGAGCTGCTGGTATTTAAAAAACATAGTATGGTAACTATAGTGTGTCATAAAATTACATTTTTTCTTCATACTACCTTATATAAGCATAGATATAAGATATGAACAAATCACAATACTAACAAAGCACTGAATCCCATACAAACAATATAATAAAAAGATTAGGGAGCTTAAACTATTATAAAAACTGATTACCAGTGAAGTTCATGTAAACCAAAAGCCTGATACATTTCTATAATTCTTTCCCCTCTCAAATATATTACTGTTAATTAAAATTCTGCACAATTTCACTAGTTTAGTCAAAGCCTGGCCTGGGACGTAATCACTATGGCACAGTCATTGCATGACCTATACATCCCAGTGGTTAGTCGGTTATTTCCCAGGGTCCTGCAAGTTCGACACTGGCAGACAAAATGGTCCTGGAGGAATGGCCCACAGGGCAGTAGGCTGCTGTGTTTGCTTATAGCTTCCCACAGGGTACGAGATGGGCAGGATGAGTGAGATGTACTGAGCTACGATATAAAAAGCTTCTTGTGCCTGTCAGATACAACAGTTGTCTCTCTGGGGAGAACAGTAGCCTTTGTCAAGTGTGGAAGCTCAGGACTAAGAGGGCCACCCCTGTGGTGTTTTGCAGCTGGCAGAACACTGGCAGACCATCAGGAAGGAACTGGAGCCCGACAACCTGTCCAAGGCAGAGTCGGTCAGCAGCTTCCTGGCCTTCATTCAGCATCTCAGGACAGCGAAGAGAGAAGACATCCTCCAGATTCTGAAGGCAGAGAAGAAGGAAGTGCTGTAAGCCCCCCTGGCTGCTGGGCTTGGCTGTGGGGAAAACAGTTTCACATTGTTATTTTTTTAATTGAGCAAGAAAGACTCATTTTTTAACTTAAAAAAACTTTCTTGAGAATTTCATACATGTGTATAAGGTGTTTTGATCAAATCCATGTCCATTCCCTCCTCTCCAACTCCTCCCATATCTCCCCATCACTTTTTTCTGACAACTTCATGTTCTTTCTTTCCTTCATTCTTTCTTTCTTTTTCTTTATGGGGCTTTTTGCTACTCTAACATTACCCCTCTGAAGAGGTAACCTAAAATCTTTTTAGAGGTTAGATACAAGCTCCCAAATACTTTTGACATTTTTTGGACTTTGGAACAGAGTATGTTGCTAAGAGGCCCAAGGACATTGTGAGTTTTAGCTAAGAAACTGGCTACTTTTCTTTGGGGTCTTTTTACCCTAACTGCCTAGCCAATTCCTACCTCCTCTTCTTATCACACCATCTTCTGAAGAGATTACCCAAATTGCTGATAGGGAATCAGGATGCAGACTGCCCTGGCTTCTTCCATGCTGAACAGGGACTCAGGGTGAGGTAACTGGGGGTCCCCGTCAGTGGGTCTATTGAAAAGACTCCCAAATTGCATAACTCTTATCTTTAGGGAGAAAAGAAAGTCCTTGACTGGTGAATAGGAGGTGTGAAGGAGAAGTAAAGGCAAGAGTAGTTAGCATTACAAGTTCTAGAGAGGGAACCAGAAGTCAGAACAGGGCAAATTTCAAATGTTCATATCAGAGTCCATTGGGATTTCTTGACGAGAGCTTCCAAAAGCATCCCTGTATTGGGTTCCTCCTCATTTTTCTTTGGTCTTCCAAGGCTGGACTCAAGAGTGATGGACTCAGGATTTGTTTTCAGGCATTTTGATAGCTATTGGAGTGGTTAGAATCAGTGTCAGTTCCCTCTCAAAGGCTTATAGATAGGGGGAGAAAACAAATTCAGCCATCATTTTATAATACTGGGTTATCTCCCTTAGCTACAGGTGAGCATTACAGCATTGCAGATCGAGATTTGAAGTCTTACATCTGAGCAGCACTTTATGCTTAGAAGCAAAATCATCAATGAGAAATAATGGCCTAAGTAACATTTTATATGGACTTACGCCTAATGTCTGGGAAGTGTAATCCCTTGATGTAACTGGTAAAAGGAGCCAGGGGCTCCTCTCAAGCCCATGTGACCCTTGAGGAACAGATCCTCCAATGATCTGTAGGGTAAAAATAAATTGGTTTATTTGGGCCAACTGTATGGTTAAGTCTGGGGACAATAAAATTTTGAAATTAATTTTCACACTAATGAACATATGAATATAAATACTACATACTGAACCAGGCATGGTGGTTTGTGCCTATAATCCCAACACTAAGGAGGTAGAGGTAAGAGGATTGACACAGGTTCAAGACCAGCTACCAAAGATTTTTATGACTAGTGTGTTTAACTAGAATCTTCCTCTAGGAGATGATGAAATATCCATTGTGGTTAAAATAGAACTATACCATGACGTGTTTTACTTAAGAAGAATGAAAACTTCTCCCTTATATACAAAGTTAAAATTACCATTTCATTTTCTATCAATAATGGTGGCTTAATTAAATTCGGCATTTGAGAAATGTGTATTTGCAAAGTTGGAGAAAAAGAACCAAATTGGGGACCTCAGATTGTATGTATTACACATATAGGAAATAATTTGTGCTTAATATATAATTTTATTCATATAATTTCAACTTAGAAATCTTCAAGTTGTATTTTTTTTAGGCTAACATAATGGTTTACACATTCTGAGAAGAACAGGCAGGAGAGGTTTACGTAAAGCAGTCTTTCTGAGAAGTCTTATTCTTTTTTGTTGTTGCTCAAATAAAAATTCACTTCTTTAGAAACTTTGAACCAATGGAAAGCTGTGGACCGTAGAGATTTTTAATAACTTTGTAAGCGCCATAAGCCTTAGCATCTGGAAATGTTTGTTGTACAGACCTCAGCTAGTGGACGCTGTCACATCTGCTCAGACCCCAGACTCACTGGAAGCCATCTTGGACTTTTTGGATTTCAAAAGCGACAGCAGCGTGGTCCTCCAGGAAAGGTTCCTCTATGCCTGTGGATTTGCCTCCCACCCGGACGAGGAACTCCTGAGAGCGCTCCTTGTAAGTCAGGGGGACACTGGGATATAGCAACAGCTATTCCCTTGGCAGCTAGGAACAAAAATGACAAACTAAATCTTCTTAACAGTGTAAGCCGGCTTGAACGTGACTGTTCAGAGTGGAGGCTGCGAAACAGAGCCTTCCTCACACTGGCATTCAGATTTCGTTGGTCTGTTTTCCATGCTTTAATCACTAATGGTACAGCAAACTTCATTTAGTGTCTTTGCAGTCCCATTGACCCACACAACCTACACTTTATGAAAACCTGAAAATTGTAGCCACCTATATTATCAAGTGATAAGGGACAAAACATCAGAGTAGGGAAGTCTGCGTTATGCTTCAATAGCGATAAGAGTTACTTTGATTTCAAAATTTTTCATATTATATAAAGAATTCTCCTGATCCTAAAAATTATAAACAAAAGCTAAACTTCTCTCACATCTAAGAGTTTTTTAAACTACACCCATTGGCTCATGATCTAATCAAATAATTTCTCCTTTGGGGGTAAAATAAACCAGTTTTAGAATCTGATCAAAGTAATGACATTCCTGCCTCATACATAAAATTTTACAGAGTATTTTGTTGACTAATCCAAATAATCAAATCCCTAAATCCTTAGGGATTCACAGATCATAACAGTCCCTGGAATGGGGCATTCTAACTCTTCATTCAAAACTAGACAGTGAATGTCTAAGTGTTCTAAAAACAAAAATCTGAATTTGTCATCTAGGGACACAAAATCATTATCCTCAGGTGTTTGTTACTGAAAATGTACCTTGGAAATACTGACATGACCTGATGACCTATTCATCCCTGTCTGGCTGCAGAGTAAGTTCAAAGGTTCCTTTGCGAGCAACGACATCAGAGAGACAGTCATGATCATCATGGGAGCCCTTGTCAGGAAACTGTGTCAGAACGATGACTGCAAACTCAAAGTAAGTGCCGCTGAGTCTCTGGTCACTGCCTAGGAGCCAGGTACTCACCTCGCTGCCCACACACTTCAGCTGTCCACACAGCCGCTCCCTAGCCCCACTCCACTGTTCCTTTTTGATGGCAATTATGGCCATCTCACATACTTAACAGTTGAGCTGCTCGTTTTATTTATTTCTGCTTTATTTGTTTATTATTTATTTATTTATTTACTATTTATTTATTTATTTCTGTCTCTCCCTGGAGTGTAAGAGATGGAGCTTTGTCTTTTTACCACCAGTTGCTTATGATAATGCCTAGTGCATATATCATGCCCAATAAATATTTACTAGAAAGGGACTCCTTCAACAATCTTCCTCCTAATATTTATTTATTGAGTCCACTATATGTGTATTCAGTCCCTTTTTGCCTTTTTAAAAAGTTGCCTCTGAAAACTGTTAACTATTTGGGGTAATATGATGTCTTGATACATTTATGCATTATAGAATAATCAAATGGGGGTGACAGGTATACCCAAGACCTCCAATACATACTGTCTCTTTGGTATGAGAACACTTAAATTGCATTTTGTGTGGGTGTGCATGAGTGCGTGTGTGCATGCGTGCATGCATGTGTGTGTGTGTGTGTGTGTGTGTGTGTGTGTTGCTGGAGATCAAACTCACAGCCTCGCATGTGCTAGGCAAGGACTCTACCACCGAGCTTCATCTGAAGCCTTTGATGTTTTTTGAGACATGGCCTCACCATGTAGTTCAGGCTGGCCTCAAATACATAATCCTCCTGCCTCTATTTCCCAAGTGCTGGAATTATAGCCTGCACCCACATTCTTGCTCCCCTTAGTTCTAGAATGTTGCAATTTCAGATCTCATGTTTAAGTACTTATTTGATTTTGAATTAATTCTTGTACTAGTATTAGTTAAAGATCCATTTTCATTCTTCAGTAGGCAAAAGTACAGTTTTTTTCCAAAACCATTATCAAAGAGACTGTTTTCACCCAAGGTATGTTCTTGATATCTTTGTGTAAAATCAGTTAGCCATAGGCATGTGGGTTTATTTATGGATTCTCAGGCCTACCCCACCGGCTAATGTTTCTGGACTCTAGTCAGCACCATGCTGTTTTTATGACTATGGTTTTATAACATATTTTAAAACCCAGTAGTAGTAGTGTGAGATCTCTGACTTCCTTTTGTCCCATTGCATTGACCATTTATGGTCTTTTGTGAGTCCATGTTGGTTTTAGAGCGTTTTTTTCTAGCTCTGTCAAGAATGTCATTGATATATTGAGGGGCTTATACTGAACTTGCAGATTGCTTTGGGTCATACACACATTTAACAACATTAATTCTTCTAACCCATGAACATGGGTTGTCTTTTCATTCATTCATAACTGTTTTCACAACTGTTTTCTAGTTTTCAGCAAACAGATCTTTCACTCATAGGTTAAAAGTACTCCTAAATATTTTTTTTTTAATAAAAGGGGTTATTTCACCGGGCATGGTGGCACACGCCTTTAATCCCAGCACTCAGGAGGCAGAGGCAGGCAGATCTCTGTGAGTTCAAGGCCAGCCTGGTCTACATAGTGAGTTCCAGGATAGCTAGGGCTACAGGGAGACCCTGTCTCAAAAAGACAAAAAAAAAAAAAAAAAAAAAAAAAAGAAAAAAAAAAGAAAAAAAAGGTTATTTCTTAACCTCCTTTTCATATAGTTCATTATTAGTGAGTAGAAACACTGCTGGTTTTGTACACTGATACTGTACCCTGCAACTCCACCAAGTTCATTCATCAACTTCTACTAGAGATGCTGGAGAATCCTTAAGGCTTTCCTGCGCATGAAACCATCTAATCATCAAGCAGGTGATTTCACTTCTTTCTTTTCCTTCTTAGGTGGCTTTCATCTACTTCTTGACTAATTTTTCTAGTTAGGACTTTGAGTATGATACTGAATACTGATGCTTACTATGCATTCTTGTCTACTTCCTGAACATTGAGAAGCCTTCAGTTTTTCACTGCTGATTGTGTTAGTTGTTAAGTCGTCACATCATAGCTTTTATTGTTTGGAGAAACGTTCCTTCTATACTTAAGTTGCTGAGAGTTATTGGCAAAGGATGTTAGATTTTGTCACAGGTCTTTTCTGCTTCTCTGGAGTTGGTAGCATTGCTTTTGGCCTTCATCTTGCTGATAGGATTTTGTTGATTTGCATATGTTGAACTATTGTTGCTGCACAGGGATGAATCTCATTTGCTCATGGGGAATGTTTTAGTGCACCGTTGCTTATATTTTGTTAAGTATTTTGGGTCTTTTTTGTTTTGTTTTTGAGACACGGTCTACCTGTAGCCTCGGCTGACTTGGAACTCACTATGTAGACCAGGCTGCCCTCCATCTAATAAAGATCCACCTGTGTCTGCCTCGTGAATGCTGGGATTAAAGGCATGTACCAACATGCCCAGCTTATTGAGAAGTTTTGAATCTGTGTTCCGCAGTGACATTGGTTGCTAGTCTCATGTAGTGTCTTTGGCTCTACTATGGGGGTAATTCTTTGCAAAAGGATTTTGATGGTAGTATTTCCTTATCTTCAGTTTTTTGGAAGCATTGAGGATTGGTGTTAGTGCTCCTTTCAATGTGAAAGGCCCATGGGCCTAACCGTAACCCTAATCTGGTCATGGGCCTTTCCTTTACAGGGGGCTTTTAATTACTGAATTAATGTCTTTGCTCATTATTGGTCTGTGGTTATTATTTTTTATAACTTGGTCTTGGTTGCATTAAATATTTCAAGTGGGAACTAGAGACATAGTTCAGAAGTTAAGAGCACTGACAGCTTTTGCGGAAGACCCAGGTTTGAATCCCAGCGCCCATACAGTGGCTAACAATTGTCCATAACTCCAGTTCCAGGGATCTGATGCCTTCTTCCGGGAGCACTGCATGATGTGGGTGCACTTACATACACACAGGCAATACACTCAGACATATAAAATAAAAATAGCGAATAAAAAATATATCTCAAGTACTTCAGCAGTTTTCCCAAGCTGTGTAGCTTTCTGTGTGTGTACGCTGCTCACAGGAGTCTGTCATGATCTTTTTTTATTCGTCTTACCAACTGTAATGTCTCATCTTTCATTTCTTTTCTTTGTCTAGCTTAGCGTTTGTTAATTTTGCTTATGTCTTAGAAAAACTCACAACTTTGTTTTATTGATTTTCTGCACCATTTTCTACTTCTTTTCCTCTCCGTTGTTATTTTCTTTCTCCTGCTAATTTTGAACTTAGTTGTTCTTATTTTACAGTTATGTGAAATACTATAGGCTGTTTATCTGCGATCTTCCGATCTTAGTGCTGTAAGTTTCTTCTTAGGTGCCTTCACTGCAACCATATGGTATGTTGCATTTCCATTTACCTGCCTCAAGATATCAATTTTTCTTCTAATTTGCTCTTTGACCCAATAGTTTTTCAGGAGCGTATTGCTTAATTTCCACACATTTGTCAGTTTTCCTTAATTTCTTCCTACTATTGATTTCTAATTTCACATAATCATGGCTGGAAAAAGTATTTGATATGACTTCAGTCTTCTTTAAGTCAACACTTATTGTAGATCTAGCATATGACACAGCCTGGAAATTTCCTGTGTTTTGAGAAGAACACTGACTTTGTAGATATTGGATGTAATGTGTGGCATGTGACTCAGGTCCACATGCTTTAAAGTATAGTTCGAATCTGGTGTTTCCTCGTTGACTCTTTTGTCTGGATGAAAACTGTGAACATTGTGTATTATAATCCTCTGCCTCTGCTGCAGTGTGTCTTGCTTCAACTCTCTTAGTGCTTATTTTTATGTATCAAATGCTATGATGGTAAGCATATTTAATACGCTATATCAATTGAACTTATGTATTTGTAATTCTTAATGCTCTCTATGAATTGACCTTTATCACAATATAATGATCTTTTTTATCCCTTCTTATTCAGCTTTGAGTGGTGTATAGTTCTTTTCCTCAGAAAGTATGAGATTCTAAGACTTCCCCCTAGACCAGAAATTTTTCTATAATAAGTGCAGTCTGCATCTGTGAGTTTTGGTAATGGAAATTTAGTTACTGCTAATCACCAAGAGCTTTGTATCTTTTTATTTCATGTGTATGAGTATTTTTTTCTTCTTTGATTTACTTTTTACGGGGCTTTTGGCTACTCTAATATTCCCTGCTGAAGAGGTAACCCTAAAATCTTTTAAGGATTAGATAAAAGCTCCCAAGTACTTTTGACATTTTTGGCTTTTGGAATGGAGTAGGTTGTTAAGAGGCCCAAAGACATTGTGAGTTTTAGCCAAGAAACTGGCTACTTTTCTTTGGGGTCTTTTTACCCTAACTGCCTAGCCAATTCCTACCTCCTATTCTTATCACACCATCCTCTGAAGAGGTTACCCAAATTGCCAATAGGGAATCGGGACGCAGACCGCTCTGGCTTCTTCCATGCTGAACAGGGATGCAGGGTGAGGCAATTGGGGTACCCCTTCAGAGATCTATCTAAAAGACTCCCAAATTGCATAACTCCTATCTCTAGGGAGAAAAGAAAGTCCTTGAATTGTGACTAGGAGATGTGAAGGAGAAGTAAAGGCAAGAGTAATTAGCATTACAAATTCTAGACAGGGAACTAGAAAAAAGTCAGAAAGGGCAAATTTCAAATGTTCAAATGAGAGTACATTGGAATTTCTTGACAAGGGCTTCCAAAAGCATCCCTGTATTGGGTTCCTCCTCATTTTTCTTTTGTTTACCGAGGCTGGACTCGAGAGTGGTGGATTCAAGATTTGCTTTCAGGTATTTTGATAGCTGTTGGAGTGGTTAGAATCAATGTCAGTTCCCTTTCAAAGGCTTCTAGATAGGGGTGAAAACAAATTTAGCCATCATTTTAGAACAGTAGCTGGTTGTCTCCCTTAGCTACAGGAGGGCACTACAGTATTGGAGGCCAAGACTTGAAGGTTTACATCTGAGTAGCACTTTCTGATTAGGAACAAAATCATCTATGAGAGATAATTGTCTAAATAACTTTTTATAGAGATTTGAGCCTGATGTGTGTATGAGTGTTTTGCCTGCATGTATGTAAGTGCAGCCACATGTATAATGCTTGTGAAGTCTAGAAGAGGGTGTCAAGTGCCCTGGAACTGGATCTATAGATGGTTGTTAGCTGCCACCACCATATGGGTGCTGGGAATTGAACCCAATTCCTCTGCAGCAGTGGCCAGTGCTCTTAACAGCTGAACCATCTCTCTAGCCCCAAACTTTGTGTCTTACCTGTATTTTCCTAAAGGTTTTTTTTTTTTTTTTTTTTTTTTGGTCTTTTTGAGACAGAGTCTCCCTGTAGCCCCAGCTGGCCTGGAACTCATAGAGATCCTCCTGCCTCAGCCTCCTGAGTATTGGGATTAAAAGATGTGTGCCACCACACCCGGCATTTCCCAAACCTTCTTTACTTGCCTGAGTAGGCTATCAATTTTTACATATGTTCCATTAAAGAATGGGAAAAGGTACTCTGTAAGTATCACTAAATTGGAAAACTCACATGGATTAAAATCAAATACCACCTATTTTTCTATATTGCAAAAAGGTTAAAATGCTGAATATATAAAAATCTTTTTTCTGCCTGTATTTATTATAACCACTACCCAGTCACTATTTTGTTCTGCTACAGAACTACATGACTATAGTATTTTTCCTTCTGAGTACTTATTAAAAACAATGTGGAGGACCATTTTTGGAACCCAATGGTTCCACATGAGGCAATACACATGATAGAACGCATAGTAAGCATGCAAAAAGACTGCAAACAACAGGGGTATTGAAAATGAGTATCAGTTCTGGCAGAAATAAAATTTATCATTATCCTTAATTATTTTTTAGTACTTTATTTATTATTTTTATTTTATGTGTATGAGTGCATTGTTTGCATGCATGTAAGTGCACCTGTGTCATGCAGTGTCCAAGGAGGTCAGAGAGGGCATCAGATCCCCTGGACTGGAGTTACAGATGGTTGTTAGCCACCATATTGGTGCTGGGAGTCAAACCCGGTCCTCTGCAAGAGCAGCCAGTGCACTTAACTGCTGAGCCATCTCTCCAGCCCCAAATTTATCATTATTTTTAAGACATTAGAGAAGTACAAATTTCTTTAGTTCCATTTTTCTATCATTGTTAAGCAGCTGATGTATTTTATCAATTCCTGTATTGAATACGGTGGCTGAAGAGAAAACCTACATATAAAAACACCCACTAAGCATTATTTAGGGAGCATCTGCTCTGTACTAGGCGTGATGTTGATCATTTCGTATAAAGATACACAGGATATTATACCATCTTCAACCAATTGTCTGCTTATCAAATTCAAATACATAAATACAGTGAGTCCTCTGTATGTGTGGATCTGAGAGTCAATCAGCCCTGGGTTGGAAATACTGGTGTGTGGGAATGCATGTGCAGAGAACACACATTCAATACAGTATGACAAGTATCTATATGCCATTTAAATTATTAGATATCACAAGTAATCTAGAGATGATTTCAGTATACAGGAGGCTATATATAGGTTATGTGTAAATACTGTGTTGTTTTATATAAGGGCCCCTGTGGATTTTGATATCCCCACGGACACTGTAATGTTGAATCATAAATAAAGTGATCTGAGGATACAGAAACTACAGTTTTTTATTATTTGAAGGTGCTAGGGAAAGTTTCTTTGAAATAGTAATAAATGAGCTTAGTTTGAAAAAGCAGTGACTTTATTCAGCATGTGCTCAAAATTAAATATGCCTGTGACTACTGATGCTCATGCTTTTAAATAACGCATTATCATACATTGTAAGACTCAACACCTTTATCAAACTTTGCTTGCTTGTTTCTATCGTGTGTCACAGTCAGGCAGCCAAAACAAACCTTTCTAAAAGTTGAAGTTCTTTACTTGCCTAAGTTTTTATATGTAGTTGGGCACATGTCTGAGCTGTGTGGTGTTTTAGGCAGTAGTTGAAGTCAAGAAACTAATCCTGGGAGGACTGGAAAAAGCAAACAAGAAAGAGGACACCATGATGTACCTGCTGGCTCTGAAGAACGCCCTGCTTCCGGAAGGCATCCCACTGCTTCTGAAGTTTGTGGAGGCCGGAGAAGGGCCAATCAGCCACCTCGCTGCCACCACTCTCCAGAGATATCCTGTTTCCTTCATCACAGATGAGGTAAAGTCCTAAGAATAGCTGCCTCATTAGCAGAAGAAAGCAAAACAAGACGACAACAAAAAACACTTCGAGATGAGTCAATGCCTCCCAAATCAAGTTGTTTTTTCCTCAAAACAGGGAATAGGGAATGTCCTTTACCCTAAAACATAAATATTGAAGCACATTCTCTTATTTCAACAAACAAATTCTTTTTAGAAGTATCTTTACTTTTTAAAAGTTTAGAATGTTGTTAAATTTTTCAGCTATTTAAGTATGATGACTATTTAACATTTTCAAGAAGCCGTTTACATTAAAAATTTGCTAGAGCAGAGAGTGTTTCAATACAAACTTTCTGGGATGTGTTTAAAACTGAGAATGGTGTTTGCAGTTCTCAGCTTACTGCCCTCCCAAGTCTGTATGAAGGCAGCAGGCTGTGAAGCACAACATTTGGGTATAGGCTCTTAAGAAGGACACACAGAGCTGTGAATTCTGGACTGTTCTTTCCTGGTTGTTTGTTCTTGGGTGGCTCCTCAAGGGAGGAGCCGTACTTCCTTGTATTATATATTCAACCCATACTTAAAGGAACTAATCTAGACCCATGAAACCTGCATTAGTTCTTTCAAGAGTAATATGTCCATGATCCAATTACCTTCCACTAGACCCCCACTTCTCAAGGGTTCCACCACTTTAACACTGCCCCACTGAGGACCACATATAAACCTTTAGGGGACATATTCAAACCATATCCCAACCATAGAAATTGGTGCAGAATGTTGATAAGGGGAGATTGTGCATGTGTTGGGATTGGGGTATAAGGAAACTGTACTTACTTTTATGTACATTTGCTATGAAGCTGAAACTATTAAAACTAAGGTATATTCATTTTTCTTTTAAAAACTGAGTCTACATAGTGAGTTCCAGGACAGCTGGGGCTATAGGGAGACCCTGTCTCAAAAAGACCAAAAAAAAAAAAACTGAGAAGAAAAGAATCTGAAGTGCTTTATTGAAAAGAAATATCAGCTCACATAGCTGTCTCCTCCCCCTGGATCCTCACTGCCAAGTAGTATCACTAAAAAGCTCTACTGCAGTAACATATCAACTACAAAATTGTAGTAGTTGATCAGACTTCTCATGCTATGTCTAATGTGAGTTAGTGAATATTTGATTGTGTTCACTACAGTCATGAAAGAAAGGGGTGCAGAAGCCATGCCAGCTCAGCCTAAGAGCTGTTCACAGTGATTCCATTCATGGACTAGCCACATGTCTCTAACCTAATTGCAAAGTAATCTAGCAAATGCAGTAACACACATATATCTTAATAGACATTCATTATTCTTGCTACAATATCAATTGAAAATATTACGTTTTTTCTATCAGCTATCTATCTATCTATCTATCTATCTATCTATCTATCTATCTATCTATCTATCTATCTATCTATCTATCTATCTATCTATCTATCTATCTATCTATCTATCTATCTATCTATCTATCTATCTATCTATCTATCTATCTATCTATCTATCTATCTATCTATCTATCATCTATCATCTATCTATTATCTATTGTGTGTGTGTTCGCTTTACCACAACACACATGTGGAGTTCAGAAAACAACTTTCTGGGGTTGGTTCTCTCTTCCCCCCAAATGGGTTGAGGGGGTGGAGCTCAGGTATGGCAGGCATCTTTACCTGCTGAGCCATCTCACTGTCCCTATAATATTAGATTTTTGGTTTTGTGTTTAGTTTTTTCATTGAATTTTTGTGAATTTTATACAGTATATTTTGATTGTATTTAGATTCCCGTCCCTAAGCACCCAATTGTATGTTTTTTATATATAATGGCCTATAGAGTAAGGTTTGTGCCCCCAAATGCCCTTTGGTGTGGGTCCATCCACTGGAGCCTGCTCAGCCTATCAAGAGTCCCACTCTTAAATGAGACTGACTCTCTCCTTCCCATTAGCATCTGGTTGTCAAGAGTTCCTCAGGCAGGGTTGGCATTTCTTATCCACTTTGCCATGTCTATGCTGGGATAAGCTTGCATCGGACCTATGCATGCTGTCACCAGTGCTGTGAGTTCATATGAGTAACTTACTAGCTGTCTGGAAAACTGTTTCCTTGTGGTCATCCACTACCTCTGGTTCTTAGAATCTTTCTGTCTCTTTTTCTACAATAATCCCCAGAGCCTTGGAAGGCAGAAGTTTGATGTAGGTGTCCTATTGAGGGATAAACAGTCTGCAGCCTCTTAGTCTTTGCATGTTGGCCAATTGTAATTCTGTTTGTTAACCACTATTTGCTGCATAAGGAAGCTTTTTCTGCTGAGAGTTGAGAGATGAAATCATCTGTGGGTATAACAAGAAGTCATTTGGGGTCAGTTTAATTCTATACCTATTTAGTGGAATAATAGTATTAGGTAATCCTTTATGTCCTGTGTCCTGTCTAGCCTCAGGTTCCTAGGCCTGATATCAATGTCAGGTTTGGGCTCCATCCTTTGAAGTAGACCTTAAATCCAATTAGAAAGTGGTTGATTATTCCCATAATATTTGTGACACTGTTGCCGGGCCAGTTGTAGCTTGCAGGATTCACAGCTGGTTAAAGATAATATCAGCTTTTAAAATCTACATGTCCAGTAAGTTTAAACATCTTGTGAACAGGTGAAAAAGACCTTGAACAGGATATACCACCAGAATCATAAAGTTCATGAAAAGACCGTGCGTACAACTGCAGCTGCCATCATTTTAAACAACAATCCATCTTACATGGACGTGAAGAACATCTTACTCTCCATTGGTGAACTTCCTAAAGAAATGAATAAATACATGCTCACCATTATCCAAGACATCCTACGCTTTGAAATGCCTGCAAGGTATGATACATTTCAGTGTCTTCTTAAACAAGCTTATTTGTATATTGATAAGGTACATGTGTAGACAATAATTATGGCCTGGATATTATGTGAGGTAGTGTTACATAAACCCAGAGTGTTAAATTCCCCAAAGAAGGCTGTTGAATGAGTCGGATAAAACAGATTCCCTTTGGCTGGTTGTATTGGAATTGTGGGTATGACTGTTACTCTGGGTGTTTAATCAGCCTGGTGAATATATTTGCCAAATGATAGTAAAGTTTTAAATCTAATTGGATTTTCAACAGGACTATTTTTATAAGTAGCACAATGAAATGATTCAAGTTCCCATCAAATGACCTTTCATCCTAAGTTTTCGAATGTGAGGAATTTTTGAAGACTTATCAAAAGCTCCCTGAATTTACCACTTGACATTGCAGACGTTAGACATGGCTCACATGTTAGGACAACCCAGGATGTAAAGAGTATTGTCTGCTGAGGCATTCTCTCAGTTACTCTGGCTGAACTCACTTTGTTCCATTTTCCAAATCCACTCCAAATGTCACTTGTCACAAGTGGCTGCTCCATGGCTCCTCCTCACAGGGGTTAGAAAAAAAATGCCCATCGTCTCTGAGGTAGATGTGAATACCACTCCCTGGAAAGGATCAAATGTGAGCATTCCTCACAGAAAAGGAGAACAGGAATAGAGGCAGGTGTCAATGAAAAAAAAAAGAAAATGAAAATAAGAGGAAAGTTAGAGATAGAAAGAGAAATAAGAACCAAGGAAAAAGAAGGAACAGGAAATGGAATGAGAACCAAGAGATGAGAACAAAATAAAGGGAGCAGGTCGGTGGGGTGAGGAGCAGGAAGGAAGGCCAGCCTGTCTACAGCCATGTTTATGTCAGACTCGTTGGAGGAGGCCCCATGTGTATTTGCTGTCTCTACCTTGTGAATCTAGCAGTCTAGGGACTGGAAGGAGGAAGCAATGGGACAGAGAGCAGCCTGGGAAGTGGGAAGAAGTCATTGTAAGCATTGCAGATCAGACTTGTAGAACCAAAGCCCTTAGCTCTGGAAGGGGCATCTTGACCCATCTTGTTAGGCATCTCTTCCCAGCATAGGGGTGTTGTTTCCTGGCAAGGGGTGCCCACACCCCACTTGTCTCTCCCTGGTGTCAGGAAGTGCACTAGCACTTAGCAAACCTGTGCCATTATTAGAGATCTATTATGTCTTCGTATTCACTGATGTCTTCATAATGGCTTTGGTTTTTATCTCTGGACACAGGAGGATGTATCTAACATTCATCCACATAAACACACTTTGAATATTTGAGGACATGACCCTCCTCATCTCTTCTAAGTTAAAATCTTGCAACCTAGAGATATTGGAGACTCAGGAGCTATAAAGGTGCTATTTTTTCCTTTCAAAATTTTTGTACCTCAGACATGGGTCCAGTTTATTCTAGCTGATTATTTTGATGTGTTATTATAATTTCACTATTACTGACAGTTTAGTATGGCATAACAAGAAATGGAAAGATCTCAACATTAATTACATAAATAAGACAGAGGCATCGGGTAAGGCTTAAAACTTTAAAGGAGACAATGATTCTTTCGTGGAGTTTATTGAACTGTTTCTGTCATTGAAAACTGTGTTGATACAGAAGAAATACTGAAAGCTTGTTTGGTATCATCAACCTATGATGACTTTAGGGGGTATAGAAAAAAAGGAAAGTTGTGTACCCTCCTGTTTGGTACAGATTTCTTAAATATATATATATACTTAACAGTGGAGCTGTGATGATTCAAGAACATGTGTTTTCTGCTCCCACGTGTGTCTACCAGGCAGTTGAACCCATCTCATAGCTGGGCATCCTCACCCAGCTGTCCTTTTGACACCAAACTAAATTTCAGACATTTGAGGAATGAAGGGGAGAGCCCTAATCGAGACACTGGTGCCCAGCTGGCACCTCCTCGGTCTTGGCATGACATGAGGAAAATGCAGCTTTCTCTTTTCCACTGAGGATTTGGTTACATTCCTAATTTGATTTGAGAAACAGCCATTAAAATGAATCTTCAGACTTTTCTTTTCATATTTTCCAGCAAAATGGTTCGTCAAGTTCTCAAGGAGATGGTTGCTTACAATTATGACCGTTTTTCCAAGAGTGGATCCTCTTCTGCCTACACTGGCTACATAGATCGTACGTAACCCCTTAAAGGGGGTCTCCCCCATCCCTCCCAGCTTAGAATTGCTGGGACTGTTTCTAAGTTGTGTGACTATTTCATCATTAGGTAGTCCCCGTGCAGCGTCCACATACAGCCTTGACATTCTTTACTCTGGCTCTGGCATTCTGAGAAGAAGCAACCTGAACATCTTCCAGTACATTGGAAAGGCAGATCTTCATGCTAGCCAGGTACCTCATTTCCCATGAATCATGGATGACAGAAATTGGTCTGAGGCAAAAAGAAATATATTGAGAGTACATTGCAAGTTTGCAAGTCAGTGGTGGCTTCAGGCACGAGTTCAAACTGAATGTTGAAGCCCAAGTAACGTGCTTTGCTTAGTTTGCTGAACATCTACTTGTTTTGTTAAAGACATATATATTTCCAAAATTGAAATTGTGCCACTGCTTGTCAGCTCACAGACATAGTCCTTAAGTATTCTTAAGTATTCAGTGCTACTCTCTATTTGCATTTCTGAATAGCTCTACAGAGATTAATTCCCCTTAACTGAAACTCCATAAAAGAATATGACTCTCTTAAGGAGTATTTTTTCTCCAACACTGCTAGGAGAAGAAAGACTCAAGTGTATGCATTTGACAACTGGCTGAATCTAGTCTGGTGTTTTTAATCCCAAATTAGGTGGCAATCTATCCTCATTATGAAATATACCGTCATTTTGGTTTTTATGAATTTCAAATTATAACCTGGTTGAAGTCATTTGAGCTTCAAACATGATTCGTTTCTCTGGAGATGTGAGTGCTCATTGATGTGAAATCACCACACCCTTCAGCAGTGACCCAGTCAGAACCCCATGCCCTCCATTCCAAGGCAGTGCCATCTATTTTCTGATATGCACTCTTAAATGCCAAACATACAGTGGTCAAGAGGCTGAGTATGCAGGATAGAAAATACGTAAAATTCCAGTGCATGATAGAGACCAGAGTGTGAACTTTCTTATAGCGTTGCCTCGTTTTGTATGGTGAGGGATGATAGTTTACCATGGAGAGGGGTCAGTCCAGCTTGGAGAATTCCATACCCTCTCAGAACAGCAGATTTGGGCGACCATGTCCAGGCCTCTCCATTTCCTTTCAGAATCCCTTGAAGATGTTCCATCTATTGTATGTGACAGTCTTGGAGAGACTAAAGTCTCAGATGACATCCTGAAACAGAAGGCCTGTGGTCTTCATAGTTACGTGGCACAGGTCTGAGTAACGCTTCTGACACATTTACCTTTTTTCACCTCATCTACTAAATGAGTAAAATCATCCATACATCAAATGACGGTTGTAAAGGTTAGATAGAACTAATTTCTCTTATGTCTAGGCATATAGTCTTAGTTTTTATTTTTGTCTAGTCGTGGAAAACATTTGAGGTTTCGGTGCCTGGAAAAGTTCTCTCTGTGGCTCAGAGGCATCTCCATCACTTGCAAAGCAGGTTGGGAGCTGGTGTCATCAATGTTGTGTCCATTCCTCCCTAGGTAGTCATTGAAGCCCAAGGGCTGGAAAGCTTAATTGCAGCCACTCCTGATGAGGGAGAAGAAAAACTTGACTCCTACGCTGGCATGTCAGCCATCCTCTTTGATGTTCAGCTTAGACCTGTCACTTTTTTCAACGGATACAGTGATTTGATGTCCAAGATACTGTCGGCATCTGGAGACCCTATCAGTGTGGTGAAAGGACTTGTTCTGCTAGTTGACCATTCTCAGGTAATTCTCTCAGTCTTCAAGTATTTATTGAGTCCCTAAAATTGTAAGACACGTTTTATGTGTGTGTGTGTGTGTGTGTGTGTGTGTGTGTGTGCATGATTGCGCACGTGTATATGTAAGCCAGAAGTCAACATTGGTACATTGGTTGTCTTCCATAATCACTTCTGACCTTTTTTGAGACAGTCTCTCACTGACCTTTATCCAATTAGGCTAGGCTGGCCAGTGAGCCACAGGGGTCCTCCTGTCTCCACCACCCCCTAGAGCTGGGATTACAGGTACACACTGCTGTGCACAGCCCTCATATGGGTTCTTGGGATCTAAAACCAGGTCCTCATGCTTGCATAGCAAGCACTTCACTGATAGAGCCATCTCTGTAGTCTACCTGGTGCATTTGAAATGTGTTCTATGCCTGGAGAATACAAGATGAAGCTCTGTTGACCTTGGAGCTCACCCTCTAAGTGTTGTCTGTCTTTTCTCTTTTGTTATAGATAAGTAGCATTTTCTTTCTCAGTCATTAGCTGCTTAATGGGGGAATGCCTAGGATGTAAAAGAGCAGAGATGGTTTTACCCACTCACTTAGTTTTCCTGGACACATGGGCTTCACTATTCTGAATGTAGGAGCTGAACTACTTGGTTTCATAAGTTGCTGATGACATTATAATGGCAGTGATTATGAAAATCTGAAGGGTGCATCATTTTAATGTTGCCAAACTTATAGAGGTCTAAACAAACATGGATGCTAGCCAGTCCTGTATTTCATTGAAACTTGGCCTGAATTTCTCAAGTTCATGGAATCTTAGAGGAACTTGCTTATTCATAGAGCATAGAGGTAGTTTCATTTCCCTGACTTCATTTTTCAGAAAGATTTTTACACTTTTCCATGACCCCAAGTCTTATAATACTACAACAAAGTCTTGCAGTACTATTTTTTTATATAGAAAATATTTAAGTGACCAAGATACTATGGGGTGGAGATGGTTTGCCCAGTTGGATTTTCAGAGAAACAGAAGACAATTTCTCTGAATAGCCCTTGAGATTGAGTATTTGATGTTGACTTACTATTTTTTCTTTAATGTTTTGATTTATGTTCTTAGTAAGCAGAGTAATATTAAAGTGAAGCATTTACTAAAAAGACATCTTATGGGGTGTTGCGGGTTCTCCTCAGGCCAGCTGTGAAGACCCTAACCTGGATCGGGGGTCCCCTGCCAATTAGGGGGTAAGAGGTGCGGGGTCACGACACACAGACCTGGGGAGTCGGGTAGAAGCAAGCACTAGGCGAGGTGCTGCAGACTCGTTTAATGCAGGAGGAGGCACACCTTATATCTCCCTTTTCTCTGCCCCCAAGTCCCTTTAGTCAGCGTATCGTTTTCTGATTGGTCCGCGCCATGCAGTCTGTCAACAGT